GACTGCTGTTCTTCACTTGATCATTGTGTTTGACTCGCGTTAGTGTCATCAAGTTGCCAGCTAAGTTTTCCCTTCGTGTTTCTGAGCATTGAACTACCGAACATTTCCCTGCGTACAGACTCCCAGGACTGTTTTCCCGTTTCCCGTGTGGTGAGTGTCGGAGAAAGAGAGCCTGATCATGTGTGTGGATTGTTGCAAGAAGAGCGAAAGTCTGTTTCCCTGGATTTCCCTGGAGCCCCATCACCCCACTTTTGTACATAGCACTATTTCTGCAGATTTGTGTATACGCTCAGTGAACTGTGTAAATAAATTGCTTGTGAAGCTTCCTAATTCAGAGTCCTGCATGTGAGTCCTCATGGCAAACAGTAACAGATACGTTTGCTAGCTTTGAACAACTATCTGGAAAATTTGATCTGAATAATAATAATTTTTTGCGATACTTGCAAATTAGAGATTTTATATGTAAAAAGGGTTCTAACTTTGCTACATTACCCGCTCCTCCCTGTTTGGATTCCATACTAAGGGTCAATGAGATGAAAAAAGGCAGAATATCATTTATTTACTCAAATATCATGAATAGGTGTAACCTGTCTATTACACACATTCGACAACAGTGGGAGAATGATTTTTTTAACACTACAAATAAAGTGTTAAAAAAAAATGAGGGGCAGATTACAGCGAATGGGTGAATTGGGCCCCTGCAGCAGCCCCAACTGGATAATATGGTGCTTATAAAACACCAAGATGATGACACTATATAATAACAAGAGAAAACATGAACCACTGAAGTTAAGAATATTTTATTACTTTGAGCCAAAATCTGAATATACTGAAAAAGAGTGGGAGTGAGATTTAGTAGGAAACATTTAACACATCCAAATTCATAATTTTTACTTAAGAAGTCATCATAAGTGCAAAAGTTAATTTTACTTATAATTTACTGGTAAGGACATACTGCAGTCACAGTTCATATCTTTTTTCATTTTTACATCTGTACTAATCATTACTGACATCATCTATCACTAAATATACCCATAATTCAAAGTCAGTTTCAGTAATACAGTAAAAATGCATTATTTTCCTTATGCTTATCCAAATCAGGGTCCAGATAGGTGGCCAGTCTATTTATGGCCAACACATAGAGACAGGCAACCATTCACCAGCTAACTTCCATTTTTAATTTCATGCATGGAGTAGCTGCAGAAACCAGAAACTAAACACAGAAAGACCCCGGGGTTTTCTTGCTGTGGGGTGACAGCGCAAAACATTGCACAACTGATTTTATATCTTAGTAGAGCAAGTTTCATGCTCTTTTTATAGTATGTTGGCCTCACTCATGTTATACTTGAAAATCCGCAGAGTGATGATAAGCTTAACAGCATTTCTAAACCAGGGGTAAAACAAGGCATAGATCAAAGGATTTAGACACGAGTTAAAGTAAAATATAATGACCACAAAAGATGCAGCTGGATCATTGATTGCATTTTCATCAACAAGAGAAAAGTAGTAGAGTGGACAGAAGCATGCCAGAAACACAACTACAAGAATTCCAAGAGTCCTGGCTGCTTTCAGCTCAGATTTGTTTGTTTGATTCAGTGAGCGCTGCAGTGTGACAGATGTCACATGAGAGCGCATGGCACGAGCCTGAGACACAGCTGCCACAAATACTCTGATATACAGAACTACAATGACAGAAACCGGAACAATAAAGGAAAAAACAAGGTCAACAACAACAGCAATATCATTGATGACAAATACACACTCTCCGTAGCAGGAATTATCCCTGCCTGGTTCAAGTAGGATATCCTTTGTATAAAGACTGACGTAGAAAAAAGCATAAAACCAACACAGACAAACACTGAGTTTGACTTTCGCCAAAGTAATTCTGCTGGGATAATGCAGAGGGTCACAAATAGCCACATAACGGTCAACTGATATTAGGACAATGTTCCCTATTGAAGCACAGACAATGTTGCTGGTTAAATACCAATAAAGAGAACAAATTATATCACCAAGTACCCAGCAGCCTGTGTTTCTAAGGATTCCTAATGGCATCAACAGGAGACCGACAAGAAAGTCTGAGACAGCCAGAGAAAGGAGAAGGATATTACTGGGTGTGTGAAGCTTCCTGCAGAGACACAAAAGAATTTAATGCACATTATTAATGTCAAACTGTCTTCATTGAAAATGCTGCATTAGTAAGGCTTGATTCAGTCTAGGCAAACAGGACATTACAATCATGGTTAAAATACATCAAGCAAAATTCACTTAAGTGATATAATGTACATTAAAGTTGTCATATATTTAAAATTAATCTCTGCCTGAAGTAAGAGACTGAGATGATGACGAGAATGTTTAGAGCAGCGGTGAGCAGAGAGATGCAGGACAGCACAGTGTTCAGGAGCACATCTTTGGACCAGTGAAGTGTTGGCTTCCTGCAGGAGCTGTTGAGGAGTTGTGGAAAACACAACTTGTTTTCTTTCTGCATCTCCACCATCAGACAGCCGCAGCTCTCTGATCAGAACTTTTTCTTATAAAGCTGATTAATCTCCACCTTCTCACCAAGCTCTTTCAGTTTTCAAGATGAGGACCCTCCTCTTTCTCTCAACCAAACCTGTTAACGCAACACAACTTTTTTTTTATACTCACTGTCTCACACACAATTGGTAAATAGTTTTGTCATTAACCTGGTATTAATATTGCGCATTATAGTTAGATTATTGTCTTGTTATGGTGACCTCAATTAACATCAGGTTTCATCCACACTCTGCAATGAGCAAACAACTTTAACAAGCTGTTTCCCCCACAGTTTGCAGAGGTTCAATTCTTCGTAAGAGGACACAGACATCGCACAAATTGTTGATTCCAGTGGCTTGTAGTGAAGTTAGCTTCCAGACATGACAGCCAACTGTGGCCACAGATGGCAGCAGTCTACAGGATGGAGGCAACTGTAGGACATCCTTTGTGTGGCAGAACACTGTTTGAACAGGAACTGTAAACAAAAACAGCGGATCATACTGGAAACCAC